CAAAGAAGTTTGAAAATGCTATAGAGAATGAGTAACAAACAAAGAAGGAAGGAGAAGCAAAGATTCTTAGATTGACAGAAGATAAATCAGCCTTACTTAGAACAGAAGTTTAGAAAGAAACTGCTTAAAGAGTAGATGCCATAGAAGGTATTCATTAAGGATTACAAAATGATTTGCCAAAGATTTAAGAGGCTATTCGAGAAGAAGCTAATGAAAGAGATGAGTCTGATTAAAATGTAAGGAGTATTATTATAATATTTAGGTAATGAAATCAATAACAGATGAATTAGTAAAATTAAGTAATTTGATCAATGTAGAAAAAAGAAATAGAGATGAAAGTGAATAATCAATATTTGAAATGCTTAAGGATATAGTGAATAGAGTGAAAGTAGAATTAGATTAAGAGAAAAGAACTAGAGAATAATCAGAAGAACATTTACTTAGTTTATTAGAAGATACCTGTAATAAATTAAGTATTGCAGCAAATTTATGAATAATTTATATTCATATTAGACATTCATGTTTCATATCAATATATATATATATATATGGTTCTAATTCATTACAAAAAAACAGAGTTGAATCAATTCTTATATGAATGTAATGGCAATACTCCAAATGATTAAGTCATAAAAGATCTTGTAGAGAGTAATAAACTATGAATATCATCTTAGTAAATAACATGAGAATCATCCTGGATCGTTTAGCATGTGCAATGGAGGATTTAGCTACTAATGGTAATATTTTTATACTATTCATTATATAGGACCTTTAAAACCTGAAGACACTAGAGGACTATCTGAATAATCATTAATTGATGCTGCAATTGAAACTATGGCACCTGAAAAAAAACCTTGGGCAGTTACTCCTTAATAATTATTACCTGGTTAAAGATTGAATCCTGATAAAACTTCATATCGTACTGGAGTAATTTAGACAGAAGAATTATCATAAATGGTTATTGAGAATTGTAATAAAGTCAAATAAGCAATTTCAAAAAATTTAGTTGATTTAAAATAATGTCTTACTACAAAGATAGTATAAGAACAATTAGATTTGTTAAGAGGTTGTATGATGATATGTTATCCTGGATATCATGGATTACCACCTTGGGAACCAGCTAGAGAAATCTTGGAAGGTTAATATGATACTTAAGCTACATTTACAGAATAGTATGATTTCTTAGATGAAAAAAATACATCTTTATGGTGGGCAGGTAAAGAATTATTAAGAGGTAAATTGTTGTAAGATTTTATTGGAAAAAATGATAAGACAAAAATTGTAATAATAAAATTTTATATTTTAGATTGTAAGATTATAAAAGACTGGTGGTGGAGCTCCTGTTAGAGAACCTGCTGTTGATGCTGAAACATAAAAGAAAATGATGGCATTCTATTATAAAAAATAATAAGAACAAAAAGTATTATTTTATTTTAATAAATTTATAGGAATTAGAAGCTGAAAATGAAGATTAATATTTAAACTCTTAATGGGCTAATCCAAAATAATTGAAATAATAATTGATGGGAGCTAGTGATTAAATTTCATGGAAACCTAAATGATCTTTACGTTGTGTAATAAGATAAATATTAATTAATTAATATAATTATTTTTGTAAATGAAAAGAAAGACTTTATTATTGGAAGCTGACATTATTCAATAAATTAAAAGTGCCTTCAATCTCAATCAAATAGAAATTACTGAATTACTCACATAAGCCAAACGATATGATCCTAAAGGCACTGGTTATGTTAGCAAAACAGAGGTTGATGATATTATGAGAGGCATGAAACTTATTTAACAATATAGATCTTAAATTACTTAATAATGAAAAGATGATTGCAAAATTTAAAGAAGAACTTAAATTACAAGATTCAAAAATGTTAGAACTAAGATAAATATGTGAAATATATTGCAAATTAAAAAATTATTAACAATAATTAGATGATGAAGAGACTATCACATAAGAATACAGTATTGTTATTTAAATCATTTTAATCTAGTTGATGCTTTTGTAGCTTTAGGAGGTAATCCAGATAGAACTGGTGTTGTTTAAAAATAAATGATTTTTGATATTGTATAAAGTGAATTTGAACTTAAAATTGATTTGGAATCATTTCTTGGAGATTTTTAAGGAAATTAATTAGAATTTGAAGATTTTTGTTAATTATTTGAGAATGCAGGTGAAGATGCTAAGTCTTTCATTACTGTATAAAATTTAAATACATTTTTAGAGCTTTTCACAAGCAAAACGTAATAATAATTCTGATTTTACAGTCAGATTTAAAGATTTTGAAAAATGGGAAAAGACTGCTATGTGATTATTGCATTTTAGACTGTATTTTAATTACAATTATTATTTTTAATGATTAATGTGTTTAATAAGATTAAGTTGATCATCTTAGAATTTTTATCTAAACACAACATAATACTAAAATAAGCAGAATCTGTTGCTTTAGATAATTAGATTTCAATTGTTACAAAATTGGATTACTAATTTATGACACCAAAAAAGAAAAATTTGAACTAACAATTTACTTCAATTTCTATATCTAAAAGTGAATATGTGTCAAGTTAGGAAATGTTTTCAAAGATAGAGGAGAGTTCTAAAAAGTCAATTGAAGAAAATTATACTAACAATTTAATGAATATGACAAGTAGTGAATTAAAGCTTCAATTTGGCGCTGCTGTATAATTTATTCTTAATCAAAAATGCAAAAATAATTAGTTAAACTTTGTAAGTATACATCCAATCATATTTTCAATTGTTAATAATTTCTTTTCAAATTGACTAACAACATATATGTGATTCAAAAATATCAATAATTGATCAAATTATTATTCTATCAATAAAATACTATACACAATTTTTTTTATATTTTAATCTTATAAAGATTCTATATTAATAATAATAAAGTATTAAAACTATCTTAATTAATAATAAAGTATTAAAACTATCACAAATAGGCATATTAAAAAATTTATATTATAACTACATTATTAATAATATTACATACTTATCAATTCTTTTGTCTTTAATTTACCAAAATAAGTTTTATTCTCTTTATAATATAAATCTATATCATTATAACAAATATTTATTATTAGATTATAGTTATGATATCAATATCTATATAAATATTTGTTTTTCATTAAATAATCCTTATATACATTCTCCAACTTAACACAAAAACTTTAACCTTAATTAATGTTATTTTGCAATAAGTATTGCATTTCTATTAATATCTTAATCCAAAAATTACTTAAGACACTTTATTGTAATATCTTATATTTATGAATATTATATATTTACATTTAAGTATAATAAATATTAAGTTAATTATTATTTAGATTATGAATGAAATGGAATCAAATAAGAGATCAAATTTTTTTGCTTCTAGTGGGAAAAGGGTAATTCAAGAATAATAAGAACAAGTAAATTATTTAATTCAAGCAGATGTTGATTCGAGATGATTAACAATATAAATATAATGATTAAAAATTAGAAAGACAAGAACCAGTTCCAGTATATTTATAAAGAAATGATCGTCCATCAAAAGTAACAGCTGCAGAACGAAAAGAAATTATTCGTAATATTGAAATAGAAGCAAATAGAAATTCAGATGGAGGAATATTTGCAAAAGTATATAAATAAAAAGATGCAAAAGATTAATAATAATAAACACAAAAATAAGCATATATTGATGAAATATAAAAGTAAATTGATGAAAAAAGAAAGAGAAAAGAGGAAGAAAGATTAAAATAAATTGAAGAAGATAGAAAATATGAAGAAAAATTGAAATTAGAAAGAGAAAAAGAAAAAATGAATTAAAATCAAAATAAGGAAGATGATAAAAAAATGATTATTAAATCTCTTAAAAATAAACATCTTAGATAATAATAAGATGATTCTAAATTCATTTTCAATGAATTTGAAGATCATTAAATTAATTTAACTAATAATAATATACTACCTCATTATTTAAAAGAAGTTGATGATAAATATGATTAAGAACTTAAACATAAGATAAATCCTCATACTCCTTTAACAAAATTATAATCTTAAAGAACTTTATAAGACTAAAATTTAATCAATATTACATATAATCCACCAAATACAGCTGGTTAAAATTAAAATAGTACTTCATTTAGAAATAATTCATAACATCAATATAATTAATCATTAAATTAATAAGAAATATCATAAATGTAATAACAATAGATTTTTTAATAATAAGCATCATATAATGATTAATAATAATAATCTAATTATCAATATTAACCTTACTAATATAGATCATATATGCCATAAATAATTGAATAAATTTAATAGGAATAATAAGAATTATAAGAAATAAATAAATTTAAAAATAGAGAATAGGAATAAGGCATAGATAAATTAAAAGAAGAAATGGAAATATAATCTAATAAATGGAATGAAGAATTAAGAAAGTTAAGAGGAGAAGTTTAAATGAATGCTGAAAAAAAGAATAGAGCATTTTATGAATTATATAATCTAAAAGATGAATTAAAAAAATAATAATTATTTGAAGAGGCTAATTTGAGATTGTTGAAATAATAGATGGCAAATAAAAAACCTGATAATTTATCTAGTTATGATAAAAAATTAATCTCAGAAAGTGATTACAAAAAAAGTTCACGTTAAAGTAGATAACTATCTAATATAGAAGATAATTTATTTTTAGAAACTTTTGTAGATTAAATATGATATTAACTAATTTATATTATTGATATAAAAATCAAGATTATATAAATTATAATATTTATTATTCTAATTTGATTTATAATAATAAGTAGAAATACTGATTATCTAAAATTTTTTATAATAATAACAATATATGAATTAGATATTACAATAAAACCATTTGATTGAAATATTTTGAATCATTTTTATGGTTATTCTTAAAAGTAGATTAAATTCAATTAAACTTATTATCTTTTTGTTTATGATTACTTAAAAATTTATAATATTATATATTATGAATTAAAATAAATGTTAATCTGATTCTGGAGGTACTAAAATTAAAGGACCTGAAGAAGATACCTTTCTACTTGTTATGAACTAAGTCTTAGATAGACATAAGTCGATTGCAGCAAAGAACAATGAAAGTTAACTTCTTCAAAATGCTCTGAAGGCTTTATAATAAGAATTAAATGAAGCTGAATCTAAGAATCCTGGATCTGCTAAATAAATACTAGATTCCATTTTCAATAATTGATAATACAGAATATTAAATTATGAAATTCATCAATACATTAAACTTTTATAATCATGTTAATTTTAGTTTACACAATACTATTCATCAACAAATTTTATATTGTAGTCTTTGATTGCTCAATTCCTTAGATAATATAATTGTAAATACTTTTACAGAATAAAATTCTATAAAATTTGACAGACTATAAATCTGAAATTAAAGGTGCTTAAATAGTACTTTATTAATTTTAGACTATTACTTTATATAAATTTGACAAATAATTCAAACTTGCTAATCAATCAGATGCTTATTTTTACACCTAATACTAATCATTTTGAACCAGGAAATATATATTTACTTTTATTCTTGCCTCGATGATTATCATTTATATTATGTGAATTTTATTATTTTTATTTTTAAAGCAAATAATTTTCTCCACCTTTCACTCATCCAATTTTTTATCATTCAATACTTAATACATTATTCTAATAAGCTAGTTAGACACATATCCAAAAAAATAGCCAATTGGGGGAATTGAACCCCCGACCCTTTGCTTACGAGGCAAATGCTCTAACCACTGAGCTAAACCGGCATCGTTAAATACTAAATTTATTTAATATATAAATCACAACTCATCATGCATCTTCTTCACATATTATATAAACTTATGCTCAAATTGCATTGCAGCAAAATTCAATTGAGTTTCACTGATTGGTTTATAAGTACTTATTCCATTCTCCAAAAGATCAATAAATCTCTCTTGTTCCCCTTCGTAATCTGCTGATACAAAAGCAATTTATAAAGTAGTCCCTATTAAATTATACATATACTCTCTTACCTTTCTTTACTTCAGGTTTTACTGTCAATACTACACTCTTAAATTGTTCTTCATTAATTATTACTTAAGGAACAAAATTCTAGAGACTTAATCCTACTGCATTTCCATTCATTCCAAATTACAAAAAGAAATCAGTCTCAGGAAATAATTCCTTTAAATCTATCACATTACAATTAACAATTACTTTTAGCTTTAGATCTTTCATGATAAATCACAAATTAATTATATTTCTCTGAATAACATAATACTCCATCAAATTCTTTATAATAACCATCTAATACTGTAGCTACTTAAACTTTCACTTTTTATAATCCTGCTTCCTTTTAATCGCAATTACCAAAAATGAATAATGCGAATAACACTATAAAATTCATTTTTATTAATCAAATTTATTCATTCTATTTATTCTTAAATATTTATTATCTTTACACGTAAGTATGATTAACATTTATTAATTTATATATTTTATTATACTATTAGAAAATCAAATGTTTAATCCATAAGAAATACTCTATTCTAACTTTGAATAAATAGAATAGATTAAATAATTTAAATCAATTACTATATCATTTACTTTCTTTATTAATAGCATTATTAAATATAGTTTAGGATATAGAAATATATTATTTATAGAAAATAAAAGTGAATTAATTAGAATTAAAAAATAAATTAAGATTATAATATTTATCGTTTTTATTTAGTAATATTTAATCAAGCTATCCTTTAATGATTTAAATAAAGGAGCATAGCATAATTAAAGATGACTTAAACATATTGAATGATATGTTATCAATAAGTATATATTTTAATTTAATTTATTACTCAAAGCCTGTTTATTTCTTTTCCAGTAAACGGTATATAGGGGTTTTTTTCAAAAGAAATATAAATGGCTAGAATATCTTAACATAATTACAATGATTTGTTATTTTGGTTAATGTGACAAATCTACTTAGAAATTCCTTTTGAAAGTGAAAAAATTAAAGAACAACTGAACTAATAAAATTTCCACTAAATATCAACTATATCCTATCTTCTTCTGATTATGTATATCTTAATTTAATTATATAAGTATTTGTATTAGAAAATATCTTAAATAATATTAAACTCAAAATATCTAAATTTGTTTTTAAAGTTATTGATTTTTATATATTTATAAGTATCTTTATGTTTGGAAAATATTTAGATTATTCTGAAATTATATTAAAAAGATTTATTTCTTATAATGATGTCTATTCCCAACTGATTTATAAGTTATGATAAATTTCGATTATACGAATCTTTTTCATAAAGTTAATATAATTTGGTTTGGATTTCAATCTTTTCTTTAAACACTTTATTAATTGTACAAAGTATTAAAAAAAGTCTATATTCTTTATTGTTTATAAGTTATTTTATAACCTTAATTTAGGTTTATGAAAAACCATTAATATAGTTGGTTGGTTAGCAAAAAAGATAGAAAATTCTAATTTTACTAATTCTTTTTATTGTTTGACAAGTATCTCTTTTCTATAGAGATCTATTCTTTTTTATTGATATTCTTTCATTTAATGATAAAGATAATTATTTAGAGATTCTTTTTAATATTGAGCTTCCTTAAAGAAATTTATAATATCTTCTTTATTTTTCAAGCAATTTTTAAAATTTTATGCCATAAAATACTCAAACTAAAATGAATTTTCATTGAAATTTAACATGATATAAGATTATTTATCAATCAACTATCGTAATATTCTCTCCCATTATTAATCTTTTTAGATTAACATGAATTAAGCTCTCATTGCTTAATTGTATTTGTACAAAAAAAATAATTAAGATATTGATACAAACAACAATGCAGCAATTGGATATATATTTAGGCCTATTGATTATTTCAATATGAAAATTATTCTGATTATACTTATTGATGTCACCTAAAGTAATGCTTCTGGAAATTCACTTCCCATTGTTATAAGAAAACTAGATCCCATTTAATTTACTCCTTTCAAATGTGCAATTGCTATATCAACTTCTTCATCAAATAAATAAAAAAATAGTGTCAACACATGATTCACAATGACTGATAGGATTCTTAAATTTAAATTATGTCTAGTTAAAAATATCTCTATTAAGATAAAGAATATTAGCATTGAAAGGTTTGGATAAAATCTAATTAGATCAGCATTTAATAGATAGGTAATACATCTAAATATGAAACTACCCATGAAACCTTTTGAAAGTAAATTAAAATGCATAATCCTTATTTACTAAAGTGATTAAGATTAATAGAGTTTTTCAAGTTATTTGTCATAGAAGAACAGAGTAAATTTATTCATTTTAAAATAAATAAGGAAATTTTCAATTTTTCATACGATCTAACCATTTAATTTAATAAAAACACTTTATTAACAATAATTAAGAAACGATATTTAATTATGAATATTTGATAAACTAATTATAAGTAATTAGTAATAATTTCCTTAAAGAACATAGTTAATAGTAATCAAATATTTAAGATTCTCAACATATTACTTATATAAATATTACTATATCTAAAATTATATTAAATTAAGTTGCAAATATTTTATATCATTTACTATTATATTATATCAGAAATTTTTTTACAAATTTCTATTCAAATTCAAACTAAATATGGATATTAATTATAAAAAATATTTGATAAATATTGAATATTAATTCCGAACTCTATAAGATTTCGAATTATTTATCAATGCTAGTTTTTTACATCATAATAAAATAATGCTATGTCTTTTTAATTAGATTTGAATCTCAAAGTTGATTTTTTCCTAAAATTATTTCTTATCATATTTTATTCGATTAAGGAAATCAGGATTTAATTCTTTAGTATAAAGATTTATTATTCTTTAACTTCTGGTTTATTTAAGGATGTACATTTCTGAAATTATAGTTCTCAATTCCTTTTAAACAACTTACTTTTCTTTTCAGAAACTTATTTATATCTTACATCAAATTTATGATCTATCAGGAGTCAAATAAGAATTTAGTTTAAATTGTTAAATATTCTCTCTGTCAATTCTTCATTTTTATTTAAAAATTGTATCTTCTCGAAATTTTTATATGAAAATAAAATTGAATTACTCTTTAAAATTATTTATGGCATCATATTTTTGAGAATGGAAAATCTTATAAAAAGGTCTAGTTGTAAGTTTATTTATTTTTCAGCTTAAGCGAATGTTATTAGTGTTAAATATAATAGTATACAAATTATGAGAGAAATGTGAAAGCATACACTGAAGTTTATTTAATAGAATTATTTAAAAGAAAAGTTTAATATATCAGAATATTTGATATTTTTTGATCCTATAGGTATTATTATCCATTCAATTCTCTTTCAGAAGTTGTTAGGATAGCATCACGATCATTTAAATCAAGAACGATATATATTTTATATGGGTTTTATTCAGGAAGTTCAAATTAATTTAATCACTTTAATTTTTCAATGGTTGTTGAAGATTAGAATTTTATTTGAAGATTAATTGTTTGACTTTATAGGTTTTGAATAATAAATTAAAAAGTGGATGTATAAAGTTTTTTTATAGTTAATTTAAACTTTGATATTTTGGATATTGAATATACTTTAGATTGTTATTTGATTTTCTATTTTTTCAGTTTTAATATTGATGTACATCAACATTTTGAAAAAAATATCAAGCCACTCTAATTCTTTTATAATATTTGTGATAAAAACAAAAATAATTTAGATAGAGAATAGTAATAAAAAAGTCAATTTGATTTAAATTATGAATTAATAAATAATGTATTGATGGAAGGTATATTGTAATGAATTGTTTTTTGTATATGAATTTGTGATATAATTCTAGTTTATTAATATTAAAATCTGTTAAAAATATAGTTGTTAATAATGAAATCAGACTCTTTGGCAGTAAGTGTATTTATTTTTGATTAGGAAGAATTACCAAATCAAGAACCCGATAGGTCGTGGAGCTGGTAGTTTTGTATGTAAAATTGTCAACCGTTTAAATAAAGTGGAGATGGCTGCCAAGATCATACAAAAAACATCATCTAATGCTCAAAAAATATAAAATGAAGTTGATATACATTTAGAATTGCATCATAAGAATGTAGTACATTTAACAGACATTTTTGAAGATGATGATAATAGTTATCTGATTATGGAATTATGTGATTCAGATATATATTAGCTAATTAAAAAAGAACAATTCTCTGAATAATAAATAAGATATTATGGTAAATAATTGGCAGAAGGCTTATAATATTTACATTCTCATAATATAATTCATAGAGATATCAAATTAGGTAATTTATTAATCCAAAATGATATTCTAAAAATTGCTGATTTTGGATTGGCTGTAAAATTAAATAATGATGAAGAAGAGAGAAGTACTTTATGTGGAACTCCAAATTATATAAGTCCTGAAATATTAAATTAATAACCTTATGGTAAAAAGGTTGATTTATGGAGTATGGGATGTTGTTTATATGCTATGGCTACAGGTCATGGTCCATTTGAAGAGAAAAATACTCCATTAGGAGAAGTATTGAGAAGAGTAAAAGTAGGAGATTTTGATTTACCTAATAATTTCTCAGAAGTGTTTAAAGATTTAATTATTAATTTATTGAATTTGGATGCTGATTAGAGATATTCTATTGAAAAGATCATAAAACATCCTTTTTTTATTGAACCTATTCCTCCAAGGATTTAGAGTAGAAATTAATCAAGTTCTTAGATTAAGTAACTTCTTGATTTAAGTCCTTTTGTAAAACATTAACATAGATAAACATGTTCAATGATAGGTTTGGAAAAATAATAGATAGTAGCTTCATTTTTATAGAAATAATAATAATTAGGTGGTAAAAAATTATTATTTGGTATGACAACTAATTGTAAAGGTGGTTTAAAATAAAATTATCATTTAGAGAATGTACCTAGATTTTTCTTGCCTTAAGAATCTCATTCAAATAATACTAGTTGTAATCATCATAATAAGGAAAATATAAATAAAGAAAATTGTAATAAAGAAAATATTAGAGAAAATAGTGTAAAATTGAAAAAATAGAATTCATCAACCATTAATATTTATAATGAATCTCCTATAAAATTAGAAGATTTAAAATCATGTAAATTATAAACAAAGAATGGTTTATTATAAATACATGAAGATGGTAGATTTGAAATGGATGTATGTAATAAGGATTTAAATTTTATAATCTAAACAAATGGATAAGAAGTAATAATTATATAAAAAAATTTAGATTTTAGTTTAAAAAAAAGGATAGAAACCAAAATAATATAGATTAAATGAATTACCATAAAAATTATAGAAATTTTATACATATTCTAAATAAGTATGCAATGCTATTAGAGAAAGAAATTAAAAACATAAAATTACTAATGAACATGGAAATTTTGCTTTAAAAAATACAAAATTAGGATAATGTTTTGAAGGATACATTGCTTAATCCAAAATTAAAGTATATATATTTATTTATTCTATGATTAGATTCAATATATTTTAAATTCAGATACTTTAAAATTATAATTGTAGAATGGAACTTTGAAATCTATCAATATTAATGAATTTTAATAAATGTCTACTTAAGCTAGAATGGATCCTAATGAAGTTTATTCAATAAAAATAGCTCTCAAGTATTTAACTTAATGTTAATAATGATTTATTAGTTAATATTTATTTTTATAATATTCACCAACCATAAGTGGCTTTCATCTTCTCTTTCTTATCTTTAAAATCTTATTTTCTTGATTCATAACCTTCCTATTTCAAAGCAGCTTAATAATTAAGAGAATCAATATGATTTTTCTCTCTTTTCAATTAATTTACATCTGTGGGAACCTTCAAAAAAGCTTCTTATTTTTATTTCATCTTCTCTCTTTCCATTTCCCAATATTTCTCATTTGTACCATGTAAATTCATTATTTAAGAATTATCTTCTCCTATTTCATAAGTAACTTTAACAATTCCTTTTTCATTTATAGTTTTTTAATCTTACATATAGATGTCATCCTAATCAAACTCATCAATTAAAGCTTACTCCTCCTTTGTTAATTTTTTAATAGCAGTATTACTTAAAATTTCTGCTTCTTTAAAATTGATACCAGGAGGCATAGGAGGTAGACGCTTTTTCACAACTGTTGTATATTACTACTCTAATTTGTTCTTTGGTTATGACAATAAGAGATTTAGTTTACCATTCTTGATCTCCTATTGTTAAATTGGAATTTGTTCATTATCATCAGATTCAGATTGCTGATCTACATTTACAGCTATCTCCTCATTTGTTTTAATTTTCTTTGACATTTTGTTTAGATGATCAAGAGTGATTACTTTATTTAGAGGTTTCTTTGGTTCTGGATGAGAATCAGAGTTGCTGTCAGAATCATAATCGACTAACTTTTAAATCATAACAATTATTCAACTATATATTCAACTAACATACGAGCATTCGATAGTAAAGTAGTACGTGATGTTATTTATGTAACTAAATCTTCTTTTTCAGCATTTAGAATATTGCTCACTTTCTTCTATTACTCGCACAATGTTTCTAATTATTCTTAAGGAACACTTAAATGCTTATAATTTCTAATTGTAAAATAGTTATACTATCCTAATAATTCCCATCTAAAACGTAAATGCTTATAATATCGATTCTTAACCATAGCCAACGTTTTTCCAGGAAAATGTCTATGAATCTTTTAGAATTTAGGTCCATTATTCAATACTAACTATAGAATCAATCGATCTTCCTCATCAGTGAACTTTTGTCCTGATTTTTTACTATTTGATCCTTCCATGCCTCTTCTCTTCTTTCTATGATAGTCATATTCATTTTTCTTTTTCTATTTTTTAGATATTCCTAGTTTATTGATTTAATCATTTTAAGATGATCTTTCTTCATTACTATCCATTATACTAACAAATTAACTATTTTTATTAATTATGAATTAATATTTGATACACATAAGGTTTTATTTAAAATAACTTATAATGTATAAAATGATATCCATTCAACAAAATTCTCATCAATTATCTAAAAAAATATCATTAACAAATTGTGTCTAAATAACTTTTATTTGTCTAATTCATATTTCAATCTTCATAAAGTTTTTGACACATTATTATCTTACGACTACAAAAACAATAAAAAATAATAATCAATAGATTAAAATTATTTAAATAAATCTATTTCTATTTTTTATTTTAAATACTATTATAATATAAATGTATGTTGATTTTGATGAATGTTATAAAATAAGTATAAATAATAGATAAAAATATTATATAGAAACAAATAATTATTATATAAGATCATCAGACAATTTATTCATTAAATTTTTATTGTTTTAATAATAAATAAATAAATAAATAAAGTTCCAATTTCTTTTTAAATCTTTATAGAGTTATTAAAGAAATTAATGCTATTTCTTAAATTTTTGATGATTTCTTATTTCTTATTTCTTAAATTTATATATTCATAATTTACAATAAGCATCTGTCAAAAATAATCAATCATGTTAATATCATATAGCTTTGCATAATAATAACAAAAATTTAATCTTGAAATATTCATTTCTCAATATTAAAACTTATAAATTGAAATAAAAAGAGTAAAATCTTTCTTTATTTGATCATAAAATATATATAAAAGTAAAAATGTATTCAATATATTAATAATTAGAGAGTTAATATTCTTAACAGATAAATTGATTTTATTAATTGACTATCATTATATATTGTTTCTAAATTTTTTAATATTTAGATAATATTATTATTGTATTTTAATGAATAAATTAAAAAATAATGTTATTAGAAGCATTCCAAATCTACATCAAGAAATGAAAATAGATCATGGTAAAATATTAAGTGCAATAAAACCTAATGAATTTTTAGAACCAAAAACTGCAAAATATATAGAATTGGATCTAAAAAATAAAATTAATTTCTCAATTAGGGAGAATATTACAAGTTTAAGTTCAGAGAGATAATAACCAAAAAAAATAAAGAAAATTGATGGAAAAGTTGCAACAATTGTTGAATTAATTAAATAAGATTTACTTCCAATGTTGAATATTCAAAACGATAGAATTGAGAAATTAGAAAGAAGAATTAAAGTAAAGAATGAATTAGAGGGTGATTCTGATTTACGTAAATCTTCATTAATTTCTGATAAAAAATCTAATTCAGTTGTAGAAAGTGAAGTATAGAATTTATCCGTTAGTGTAGATGAAATAAAAAAAAATTTATCACATTTAGATAATTTTGTTAAATATCAATTCATAAAACGTAAATGTTAAGCTTCAGAAATGCCTGATAATAAAAGTAAAAGTGTTATCTCTTAAATCTAAGCTAAACTTAATACAGAAATTATTTAATAAAAAATTGAAACTCAATAAACAACTAATTAAATACAAGAATACATCACATTATAATTATAAGAAATTAAAGAATGGATTAATAATATATCAATTGAATAATAAAAGAGGATAGAAGTCAAATTAAATTTGATGGAAACTCAATTTTATTAATTTCTTTATCAACCAATAGAGGTTTTAAGATAAATTTAAACTAATTAAAAAGAAGTTTAAAATAAAATAAAGGAATTTGAATCTATATTTAATTCTAAAATATTCTAAGACTAAATTTAGAATTCTTAAGATATAGCAAATTGTTGTAACATAAATCAGAATAATAAGACAATTAAAATTAATTGTGGTCATTCATACCATGATTAATGTTTATTAATACAAATAGAAGAGGATCTAAAAGAGCAAAGAAAAACATGTTGTAAAGAATGTCATACCTAAATTCAATTCAATAAAATATGTTAATTATCAATCTCAAAAGATATATAAGATTAAATTTATAAAGAATAAATTAAATAGTTGATAAGGTCTTCTAAATGTGATATAATAAAATGTTTGAAATGTGGATTTTTGTTTATTAAAGATTAATTTTGTCAAACTCAGGAAAATAATTGCGTTTAATGTACTTGATGATTTAAAATAGTCATGATGAATCTATTTCAAAATAACTTTATAATATAAATATATTTATATACTCTAATTAAAAAAGTTAATATGAAACTATAAATAAAACTTATTCAATTATAATTAAAGAAAATCCTAATTATTGACTAATAGTAAATTAATTGAATTTCTTTAAACTTATTATGATGAATCTTTATCAAACTAAAAGTTCATTTGAATATCAATAACTTCCTATATGATAATTATTTTATAATAGATAAATTAAATATTTTATTTTTTCTATCTTAAATCATATATATTATTATATCACTTATACATCTATATTTTTTTAATTATAATATTTGTAATTGTTATATGGAATTTTGTTTTATTCTAAAAAAGCTAGTTAAAGATAATATGATTCTATTGTAAATGAATTTAGACTTTTCACTTTATGTAATCCTTATACAAAAAAATTAATCAATTCTAGAATGAAATCTAATTCTATATAATTTAATTTCAAAATTATTAGTTCTTAAAGCAACAATAACTTTTAAATAATGTACAATAAGATAAATTTTATAGAATAAAGAATGAATTAATGTGGGATTATTTTATAGAAATCCTAAATTTATAATTTAATTGAATATTATTTAGAATATGGGAAATTAAAAAAAATTCCTATAAAAACTTTTTAATATTCTTGAAGTACTTGTTATTATAATTTTAGTCAAAATAACATGAAGATTGTATTTAATGGAGTTAAGATGGGAATTCAATTGTAATAATTTGTGCAGAATTATTTGAGGAAAAGGTAATGCCTTCATATTTCAATTCTACAAAAATTTCAACATTTTATAGATAATTGAGTCAGTATGGATTTAAAGTAAAATAAAATGAGAAAAGATAAAAGTAATTTTATCATTCTAATTTTTAATAAGGAAATTTGTATTTTTATAAAATTTATTCTTATAGTGAAAAAGTTTTAAATATAGAAAGAAGAAAGAAGATACAATAACATATAGATCATAATTGTAGTATAAGTGAAGAGAATAAAAAAATAAATAATGAATTAAAGGTTCTACAAAAGTAGTAATTAGCTATTTAAGCTTAACTAAATATCCATACATAGATATATTTAATGTTTTGCAAATAGATGAAAAATGTCTATGATGTATTTAATAGATATATACTAGTATATTAAATAAGATGAAGATGGTGAGGAATGCATGGTATTTTTCGAGGCAATTATCTCTGTATTTAAAGGATTTAATCATGATATTGCCTCAAATATCTTTGAAGAACTTTAACATATAGGAGGTCCATAAAGTCCTTAATTATCGCCACTTCTCTTTCCTTATCTAAAATTTAATTGAATTATTTTAACAGCTTCTTTTAAATTTTATAATAAATTATAAAGACTCAAAAATACTCTAAAATATATTTGAATATTTGTTTGAATTTGAGTGTTTAATCTTACCACTAATTATGTAGCTTGATGAATCAGAAATATTAACGTTGCCCATGTGGCGCAATTGGTAGCGCGACAGCCTTCTAAGCTGTAGGCTGCAGGTTCAATCCCTGCCATGGGTGATTCTTTTTTTTTTTTATTTAATATATATATATATATATGAAATTGAATATTTATATTTAATTAAATTGATCATATTGTACATTATTCTAATTTGTTTAGGATTTGGGATGGATGATCAACTTTTAGTGTCTTCATAATTTTGAGTATGAGATCAGGATCATTAAATTAGTTCTATTTAATTTTTTCAATAATTTTTAGAATGTAAATCATACAAGCTTCACTTTTCATATTTTCATCTAATTCTAATAATCTTTTAGCTATTTTAATGAATTATTGAATATCTTATAATAAAATAAAGGTTTAATTCATTTTAAACATTAAATTATCACTTGATTCTATTTTAAATAAGGATTTAATAGTTTAAATATCGTTATTGGATGTGTTTTAGAGTGATTTAATAGCATCAATAATTTAAGAATCAGTTGATTATTTTAATGATAAAGTTTATTCTAATTAATTTTTGAAGTTCAAAAAACAATCTACATATTTAGAATCAAATTTCCATTTTTGAATAATGGGAAAGACTTATTCTAAATTATATTGTTCTTCATTTTAATCATATATAATTTCACAGATTTATCTACAGAATGATTCTAAATGAGCAACACCTAACATGACTGTTTTAATTTTTTCTGCTGTTATCAATAATTATTCCATTGAATTTACAGAGAATATTTCCATTAATTTATTTATATCTCTATCATCATGTTCAAATGTACCTGTTTTCATAGTTTTATTAATTGTTTAAATGAAATTAAATGATTCTTGTAATTCTTGTTTAGTTTCTTAATATAATTCTTTTAACTAATTTAGTTAATCTGTTAGAAATGTATTGTTATCTATCAATCTTTAATTGTCTTTTTTGATCCTATTTAATTCCTATACTAATAATTGATTTTCATTGATTAATGATTAATAGGTTGAGTTTTCTTTCTATTGATATTCTTAATTCTATTTCTTTAATTGATTATATTCATTAAGGAATTTAGATAATAATTCTGTATTGTCTGTTGACATTCTTTATTCAAATTTAAATTTAATTACATTAATTGATTTTCAAATATTTTTATGCTTGAATTACAATTAGATTGATTGAAATATAGATAAAAAAGTTATAAAATAAGTGAATATTCATTTCTAAAATTTAGTCTTTAATCTTTAATACTTTTTTGGATCTATACTTGTATTATGATTTCTAAGTTTACGCATTTATTCACTATTAAATTCAAATGAGACTCGTTTACTAGATGGTCTCATCATTGGACTATTGAGACTTTACATACTTTATCTACTTCCTATTTTAATAACTTCAAAAGAACTTGATTTCAAAATGCCTTTTTGAGTTGAGGCAGAACTACCTTTTTAAGAATGTAAACAATCATTATTAGCAAGCATTCTTGATATTCTTTATGGATGTGGAAATGGAAAGCTATTTAAATCATTGTGATCATTAACAATTTATGTTACATAAATTTATCTCTTTGGTTTACGATTAGATATTAAATTTGTTTAAAGTGCTTATGAATTTTATTGTTATCTATTTTTAGGTTGTTTATCTATAGAATTACGAGAGTTGTGTCTTCTTCTAGAGTTGGCTAAATGAATTTAAGTTTATTAGATTATATCTAAGGATTAGTTTATTTTTTATCCACTTTGAGTTTGCATGTTTTAAGTTGATACTTAATTTGTGGACTTAAAACCATTTGATTAGATACAAATATCATCCTTACATCCTAGCACATCTTTAAATTTGCACATCATAGTATTAATGCCATTCATTCTCTTGTTTACTGAAGTACCTTTATCATCTAATTCATGATGAAAATTTGGAGTCAAATACTTAAATTCGATAGCTTTGATGGCTTCATCTGAGTTGATAGATTCTTCTGAATCAAATTCTTAATTCATTTTATTTAATGTCAGATTATGATTTTTGTATTCATCTCTAACTAATTAGATTACTCTTTAGGGGGTCTTAATGTTTGAATTTATAATTTAATACCACATTCATAAACATTATCTAAAATGTATTAAACTTAATTGAAAACTAATAAATAAGAAATCATTAATATTTCGTGGAATCTTTATAGATGTTATTTAATCAATAAATTTAATTAAATTATATTTCAATATAATCAAAATTAATAGGTGCATACACTACAAAGTTTTAGATTTTCCTTATTTTCATCATTATAATTTTTTTATTTTATGGTTTCTATACTATTTTTAAATGAAGCCTATTTTAATATTAATTTAAATGGTTAAATTTTTTATGTTTTTTATTAATAAGAGATTATATGTTTTATACTCCTAATTCCATCAACTAATCTTTTAAAATATAATTTTTAAATAATTTAATATCCTTTATTAACTTATTTATATTCTTTCTATTTAATATATTTCACTAGTTTTAAACATTGAAAACCCAAATTCATTAATCTCTTATTTTATTATCGTTACCTTTTTTACTTATTTTATTCTAAAACTCTTTTCATAGAATAAAATAAACTAGATAAATAGACAACTTAAGGATAATCTAAAAATCTAGTATTTTCTTATTCTACATTATTAATTCTATTGAAAAATCTTTTGATTCTTCTTTTAAATATCTTATCTAATATAGTAGTTAAAGACTATCCTTTTCTTTATTATAAAATCTCATATTTAACATCACAATAATTCTTAATAATTGGTTTATATTCATTAAGAGATTAAATTTATTCTTCTCTTGGGGATATTTCAAGTTTTGAAGGTTTTAAATTTAATTTTTCAGGTGCAGGTTCTTCAGATTAGAGTAATTTCTATTTTTTACGTAATGTACGTACACTCTAAGGAACACATTGGATAGTAGTTTATTTTAGATAGGCAATTTGGGAGACCAGATTTTTAAGTTCAATTAATTTGAATGTGGCAATTTATAGTATTGATTGTATATATTCTTGGCGAAAAGGAAAGACTGGAAAGTATTGGAAGAATAATTCTTTCTCATAATTAGGGATTATCCTTTATTTTCTATATGTATTGGATATGACTTCTTAACATTTAATTTTATCTTTTAGAAATATTGGTACTGTCTAATTTATTTTTTAAGGTTAATCTTGAATAATAAGATCATCATCTTTAGTGTATAAATCAGAGGATATATGCAATTAAGGTTTTTGTATGTTGAGAAATACTTTATAATAATTAGTTTTATCTCCATCATTTAATCTTATCAAGTAATCAATAAATGCAGAATAATGATTGGAAGATTACAATTTAATGACATCTTAAAATGTTTCATAGTGTAATTTCTTCATTTGTTTAGTTTATTCTTAATCAAGTTCTTAATTATATTAGATTGATTGAAGTAATTTGGACAAATTCTAAAGATTAGATGAATTAAGGAATTATAACATAGTATCAATGAATTACCAATCTATTTATAATAAGAGATCATTTGATACAAAATTTAATTGTGATCTTTAATCAATCTCTTTGGTTGCAGTTCTTAAAGATAATACTTTTTATATATTTAATATTTAGTTGTTAAGTTTATATATCCATGGAATTAACCATCTTGAAACAATTTCAGCTTGAATTCTTTGAGATTTAACTATTCTAATATCTACTACCATTCCATCAAGTCTTTTAAGTTATTGAAATAAATGATAACACACATCATGATAATCATAAACAGTAAATGGATTAGAATGGATAGATAAGTATTAAATATTCTTATTAACTTTATTTAATTCATTGATATCAACTATTTGATTATTTGATATTGATAAACTTTTTAACTATTTAAATTATTCAATTCCATCTAAATTAGATATATTATTATGACTAATATGTAGATGTTATAAATTTAGAAATTATAAGTTTTAAACTAATTTTCCAATTCTGATTATTTATTTTGATGAAAGATTTATACTTTTATTGAACTGATTTGGTAGCAGTTAACATAATTCCATATTAATTAAATATTTATAAAAATTATTTATATATGATTAAGCAAACAATGAATTTTTCATTAAAATAAAGAAGAACTTAATCATTGGAACCTGTACTTGATGAAGAAGTATTTGGAGAATTAAAAAATGAGAAAGATTTTGAAATGAGATTGTAATAATTGAATGAAATTTAATAAATCCATTAAATGACTCAGAGTTCTGGGATATCAATGTCATCTGGTCGAAGTAAACATTCTAAACATTAAATGATGGAGAGTTATGCTTATTTAATATAAGAGATGGTTCATAATAAAGAATTACAATAATTCTGTCATTAATTTGGATTCTCAATTTAAGAATTAGAATAATATAATTAAATTGAAGAGAGATAAAATTTTGTAATAAATGCTATGTGTAAACATATAAAAGAATAGATACAGAGTATAATTATAATTAAATAGGTTTTATGACTAAGGTTGAATTAAGAATGCATTAATATAGAGTAGATGAATGGAATGAATTACAAAAAATGAATAAATAGAATATAAATATATTTGAATGGTTGAATGTTAAATCTAAATATTAACATTTAAGAAAGAAATTACAATATGCTTTAATTGATAGTATAACTGCTACTTAAGTAAAATAATAATAAGAGAAAAGAAATAGAACTTATAGTTAATCTAATTTATCATAAATAAGTAGAGCAAGTACTGCATGTGCAACTACAAGTAGAAAAAGATTAGCATCTATTCAAGAAGAAGTAACAGTGAATCCAAAAATCTAATTAGTATCTGAATACAAAGATTTTAAGGCATAATGGAATGAAGATTTAGAAAAATAATATAAATTAAAAGGGAAATCTAATAAAGTATTGGGATTGTATCCTGTTATTTAGAAGGCTATTTTAGATAATGTAGGATAGAGTGTTTGGAATCAATAGAGAGATAGATTACTCACAAAATATACTGAAGGTGGTTGTTTAACAGAAGAAGAAGTTAAATTTATAGCAAATACATCTTAATTATTAAATAGTTGTTCTGATAAAGAATTTCTATAGAAAATTATTTCACATTTAGATAAAAATATTATAGATGAAATTGAATATAATATAGCTGAATGTATATTGGCAACTTATACAAATATATCTAATGATGTAAAATCTATTAGATAAGTTTGGCTTAAAAAGATTGGTGCAAATCTTGAATAATAAGTTAAAGATACTCATTATAGTGTATTAAAGAAAATGTAATTGTAAAAGAGTTAAAAGGAACTTGAAAAAGTTAAAGTCAAAATGGTTACAATTTTTAAAGATTTATAAAAAAGACATTTAATTAAATTACAATAAGAATTAGATAAAGATCAATATATTTAATAATAAAAAGGTGTCAATAAAGTTATTTTGAAATTCAAAGATAAATTAATGAAAAGAGTTAAAAAATATAGAAATGAAAAGAATATTAGTATTGCCAATGATTTCATTACTAGAAATATTCCAAAATAAGGATCTCTATTATTTAAAATAAATAAGGAAATGAAATCTACAGAATATGTTAAACATTTATTTCATCCACCATCTAAATTAATTATTAAGAATCCTGGATCTCAAACTGATAGAGCTATTAAAGAAGAAAAAAAATATAAAGTTAGATCATAAAGTACTTTAAGATAAACAGATTTTAAAAGATATCTTAGTGGAGGTCCATAAACAGAAAGACAATTTGTTTCTAAAGCATTAGCTGATTAAAATTAATAAAGAATTAGTGGACACAAAAATCCTCATGAATGGATTACAAGTGAAATTGAAGTTATAGCTATTAATAAAATTAAAGCTGCTATTAGAGCTTATCTTTAAAGAAAAAAATACTAGAAATAAAAATAATTAAAATAAGAATAGGAAGAATTAAAAAAGAGTTTATTAGTATCTCTTGGTAAAAAGAATCCTGAAAGTATTAAAAAAATTGAATTAGAAGTCATTAATGTTATTAAAAGTTTAGCTTTAAATAAATAAAAGAGTTAATCAACTATGTATTCTTCAAAATAAAGAATATAATCTGATATGAAACTAAAAACTAGAAAATTATTCTAAGCTGCAAAAAAAAAATGTTTAAACATAGCTATTTAATCAGGTTTTATGTATACAGTTGAAGATGTAAATCAATAAGATGAATTTGGTAGAACTCCTCTATCTTATGCAGCTGAAAATGGAGATGAAGCTATTTGCAATTATTTATTAAAAATTGGAGCTAACATCAATATTCCAAGTTTTGATGGTATGACTCCTATGCATTTCGTATTTAAGAGTAATTCACTAAATCTAATAATGAGATTCATCCATTTAGGTGGAAATTTAAATAAATTAAATAATGATGGATTAACACCAGTAGCCTTTTGCAATCAAGAAACTCTAAAAAAATTAAATCTAACTCGGATGATCTCCTCTTCTCTTAAATAAGGATCATTTGATAATCACTCGATCTTGAATAAAAAATACCCTTAAAACTCTGATATAATAGAAGCATTAGAATTTTCAGGAAATTTCAGTAAATTATAATGAAAATTAATTTTTATAAACTAATCATATTATTTTAAGTAAATATATTAATTTTCAAAAGGATCTTTTAAATATTAATAAATTGCCGTTATGGATTCTTTTCTTTTTATATATTTTTATCAATTATAATAACTAATATGGTATATAATAAATACTTTAATAGTCAATTCTCTATATACTTAGTGCATATAAAATAATAATACTTTACATAATTAATATTTTATCTTAAATATTAATTATGCTAAATAGTATATTAATAAGTTATATAGAGTTATTTTGATAATCAAATTATAAATTTAATTCCAAGGAATTTAGATTATATTTTATGAGATAATATATTTTCAACTAGAAAAAACGTTATACTTAGATTTAATAATTATTTTAATAGTTTTATCATAATCATCAAATTTATAAAATTTTTTATCTCACTAAAAATATGTTATTAAAGAATTATATGTATTGTTTTTCCATTTAATTATAAATCCTTTACCAAGATTATCAGCTATTTAGACACCAAATTTATTCTCCCATTTAAACTATTTTTCATCTTTTAAAGTACCTTTTTTGCCTTTAACTTATAAAAAATAACCAGATATTTAGGGAGAACTACATTAATATGCTACAAAATCTCCTTATTAATTAATTTAAAAATTAAACTTCCCAATTGTTATCATTTATTCTACACTTTTAATAGCAGTATTTTCTAATTATTTAATTGTTTCATTCTCTTTGAAATGCAATTTATTATTAATTTATAATTATTATTAAGGTTATTTTTAATTAAAATTTAAGAGATTTCCATTTGAATTAGGAGTAAAAGGATTAGTTATAATATTTTTGGAATATCCTAAATTAAGTGAATTTGGTTATATTCTTGAGTTTTATTAATTTATTTGATTATCAAAATTGTAAATAGGTTAAAACTTATTAAATAATTATTTTTGCATAAATGGTTAAGGATTTGGTTAAATGAATTTGAATTGTTAATTATTAACATTAGATAAAGCAATCTAATTAGTTTTTGGTTGAGCTTAGTATTATTATAATTAAATTTGAGGTATAAGTTTGGATTAATTTGAGAATTATGATGCAAAATTAATTGTATCAAATTGTATTAGTAATTGAGGATCTATTTCTTTGGAATCTATTAGTTTACACATTTACATTTCCATCATTGTTGCTAAAGTTTTAGTTTAGTTAATATCTGTAACTTTGATTTATTGTGGTATTGATTGTATAATATTTTTTTATTTAGCTTCATGCAATACCTAGAAAATTCATTTATATTACTTCTTCAAATGTAAAATCTGAACTTAACATTACTCCTTAACTTAATTCAACTCCATTTTATTTAAACCAACATATTACTTTAGGATAATAAGATGAAGCTGATTCTGAGTGAATTCTTTTTGCAAAAATAATATTATTAAGTTTTGCTTATTAAAGGCTTAATTATGAGTCAATCTCGTATTTACATTCTTTATCCTAAAAAAGTTGGACTTGGTATTGAAGGAATTCAGCACATTTATCCACTAGGTTTTTGACGTATTGGAAAGTCAATAATACTTGGAATTAACGAATTTATTCAGGAGGCAAAGTTTACACTGTAATACTTTTATACATAATTAATAGAATTAGTAATTATATAATTTTATTTTATTATGTTCATGTTCTTTGGAAATAATCAAATGGATTAATATCAATAATCATATTTAGATTTATATGAACTTTATGAAATCATTCAATAAAATTATATTAACTTATATGATTAAGTAAAATAATTATAATTATTATTAATTAAGTAAAATCATTATATATTAATAAATATTATTGTAAATAGAATATTAGTAATTGATACAATTTTTAAATATATCAATTTAAATTAGATTTGTAATTGATATATTTATAAAAATTGATAAATATAAATTATCCTTATACGTAATAATTAATTAATGAATTTGATTACATTAAAATTTAAAGATTAAATCCTTGAAAAATAATATTAAGAACTCAAAACAAAAACTATTCGTAAACCTATTTATTTTGGGATTTATTCATTTTGTTTTTGTCTTAATGCTTTTAAAATTGTAAGGGATTTAATATTGTAAGAGCCATAGCAACAATTATACATAAATTATATATTTTTAGCATTCATGATATTATCCATAATGTTGATAGTCTATAATTAGAATTTTGTAAAACAAGCTCTAGTGATATCAAATTTGGTATCTGGATTACTTCAAATGAATTTTAATGATTAATAGACATAAAAATAAGAATTTTATTCTTTTGGAAGTAGTTTTGCATAATTACAAGCAGCTTCTTATTTTGTATCAGATTTTTTAGATGGAATACTATAAGTTGGTGGTCATTTAATTATGAAAGTTATGATTACATCACTTTCAACTCATAAAATAGATGCATTATGTTCAAGTTTTGCTATTACAGGTTCTATATTTATTCTCGTTACAATTTATATCTGTGATTCAAGTTCAAGAAAATAATTCTTATCCACAGTAAGTGAAGACATATGGGATCAATAATTGCCACATATTATAAAAAAACCATTTATCAAGCTCAGTTATTCTAATACCATTATAAATATATTACAAAGTCATCTCATTGAGATATTCCCTAATTTTAATAGTGAATAATGTTATGGATGTAATGGAAGATAATTTTTAAGAGATTGTTAGATTGATAAAGTTTCATTATCACATTGTATTCTTAAACAAAGTGATATTTTAAATAAGACAATCAAAGCTAATTACAAATGTCATAGATTCGATTTAAGAGTTTGTAAATATGGTATAGAGAACATGAATTTATTAGTTATTTTGGAAAAAATTATTACAACTACTCAAACAAAAGTATTCCCAAATGAAGTTAGATAGGATATAAGTAAATAAATAAGAATCAATCATTAAGAATACTTACGTTTCTTTTATTGGGGTTTACTATCCCTTATCCATCTTAACAATCATGAAATAAAGGAAATTAAATTGTTTCTTATGTTTAAAAGACTTAATAAGAGTTATCGCAATTATTTGTTACCAATTTAACTTTTTACAAAATATCAAGAAGTCCATCTTAATACATATGCCAATTTATTGAGGATATATCTTATTCAAATATACCACATATTAATTGAGCTATATTCATTGTCTTATAGAATTAGAATTTAAATTAGAGAATGTGATGAATATATAGAATTACATATTTTGATAAATTCAAGTATGTTTCACACTCTTTATCAAAACAATATTTTTATATAAAATATAGAAAGATTCATCCTTTATGAACCCTTATCTAACGATTTAAGAATACGTCTCAGTAAACAGTTATCCTTTAAATGATTATTATTAGTTGTGTAATGAAATATATTTTAAAAACGAATTTAATTTTATTGTTCAATAAATATCTAATCTGATTTAATTATTATATTGATAAATTTCAATAACACATATAATGACCATATTATCAACTATCATATGTATGTATTAAATATTACTAATGATATTATCCCNTAGTTTTGCATAATTACAAGCAGCTTCTTATTTTGTATCAGATTTTTTAGATGGAATACTATAAGTTGGTGGTCATTTAATTATGAAAGTTATGATTACATCACTTTCAACTCATAAAATAGATGCATTATGTTCAAGTTTTGCTATTACAGGTTCTATATTTATTCTCGTTACAATTTATATCTGTGATTCAAGTTCAAGAAAATAATTCTTATCCACAGTAAGTGAAGACATATGGGATCAATAATTGCCACATATTATAAAAAAACCATTTATCAAGCTCAGTTATTCTAATACCATTATAAATATATTACAAAGTCATCTCATTGAGATATTCCCTAATTTTAATAGTGAATAATGTTATGGATGTAATGGAAGATAATTTTTAAGAGATTGTTAGATTGATAAAGTTTCATTATCACATTGTATTCTTAAACAAAGTGATATTTTAAATAAGACAATCAAAGCTAATTACAAATGTCATAGATTCGATTTAAGAGTTTGTAAATATGGTATAGAGAACATGAATTTATTAGTTATTTTGGAAAAAATTATTACAACTACTCAAACAAAAGTATTCCCAAATGAAGTTAGATAGGATATAAGTAAATAAATAAGAATCAATCATTAAGAATACTTACGTTTCTTTTATTGGGGTTTACTATCCCTTATCCATCTTAACAATCATGAAATAAAGGAAATTAAATTGTTTCTTATGTTTAAAAGACTTAATAAGAGTTATCGCAATTATTTGTTACCAATTTAACTTTTTACAAAATATCAAGAAGTCCATCTTAATACATATGCCAATTTATTGAGGATATATCTTATTCAAATATACCACATATTAATTGAGCTATATTCATTGTCTTATAGAATTAGAATTTAAATTAGAGAATGTGATGAATATATAGAATTACATATTTTGATAAATTCAAGTATGTTTCACACTCTTTATCAAAACAATATTTTTATATAAAATATAGAAAGATTCATCCTTTATGAACCCTTATCTAACGATTTAAGAATACGTCTCAGTAAACAGTTATCCTTTAAATGATTATTATTAGTTGTGTAATGAAATATATTTTAAAAACGAATTTAATTTTATTGTTCAATAAATATCTAATCTGATTTAATTATTATATTGATAAATTTCAATAACACATATAATGACCATATTATCAACTATCATATGTATGTATTAAATATTACTAATGATATTATCCCTATTAAACTTAAAAATAATTAGGATATATTTCAGAAGGATTTTTCACAATAAATATTAAAAAATTAAAATTTTAAGGTTAAAATCACATTTATTAAATTTAATATCTATTTTTCATTTACTATTTTCTAATGAATTCTTAATAATAATATATATATCTAATCTAAATTAATATGGATATTTTGATTATTTAATTACTTATTATTTTAACCCAAATGTTAAATTACTATTTCAATAAACTATATTAAAATTTTAGGATTATTATTAAAGTAAAATGATAATATATTTACTTTATATTTGTTAATAATTATTATTTCCTAATTGTTAGCAAATTTATTACATTCTTAATATATATTTATAAAATAAGAAAATTTTAATATTGTTATAGTAATTCCTTTTTTGTTTCAAAAATTTATATTTATATCAGATTATCTAACAATAAATTAAATATATTGAACAATTTAGACATACTTATTAAATGAATTTCTAATTAGATTAAAATATGATTTAATTTATATTGAATTATTTAATATTTTTGAATATATAGTAAAGAATTAAAAAGAAAATCTGAACAATAATGATAGAACGACATTATTATTGTTTTTTTTTGATATATGGGGATACTGATTATAATCATTGAAAATTTAAATCATTACCAATTATTATTTCTAATTAATTCATGAACCAGATCCTTTTTTATACTTATTCATTTAATCAGAATTAAAAGTTAGTTCTCATTCTTTATTGATTGAATTTCATTTAAGATCTTTCATTTATATTATATTGAAATTTTATCAAATGTAATTATGGGTGAATTTAATGCTTGGTTAAATAAGTGTTAATAATAAATAGTGATTATAGTAATGAATAATTTAGTGATAAATCATGAAAGTAAATTATTTTATTAACAATAACAGATTAGGATAGAACATTTAAATGAATGCTTATGCAAAATTATATATATATGTTGTATGTACTTAAATTATAATCTCATTTCTTGGCTGGAGCTTTCTTTTAGGCTTATGGTTTATCAGCGGCAGCAGCAGCAGCGGCAGCTTTTTATGCAGCAACAACTTGAGCATTTACAGTGTAGATGTATTATTTAGAATTTTAATCTCCAGCTGGTACCAACAAACCTGATTTTGCAAAATGTCTAATGCATCTTCTTGCTAATGAACTTTAATAAGGGATAAGAGAGCAATAAATACCCATTTACTTTGAATTTATCTGATACTGTTGAGACAGTGATCAATGAACCCATTTTTGGTAATTAGGTCTCAATTTATTTGTAGGCTGTATTATCCAAATACACGGCATTGTTTAATTTATCCTTTGCTCTTCCTTTAGTCCATTTCTAAGCAAGTAATCATTGATTAATATTACCTTCTTTGTTTATTTACTTCTTTAAGAGGCTGCTTTAGCAATCTAATCCTTGGTTTTCTTTTAACCTTATGTTGGTTGTTTTCCCTAAACTATAATTTATGATGTATTACCATGATTTTAAATCTTTAATAAAATTTTTGAAATTATTTTAATATAATTCAATGTAAAATGTCACATATGCAAGCAGAAATAAAAAAAAATATCAAAATCCTATTTTTTTTATTGCAAATTAGAATTTATAAGCATTATATTAATAGTTCTATTGATTAAATGAAATATGAATGACAATATTTACACATCATTATCAACCAAAAAATTAATAAGATATTAAAATAAGATTGAATAATAGAATACTTAAAGAAATATTAAGATTTTATTAATGATTTTTGTATTTTTAATATATTATAACATAGTAGTTAATGTTCTAAAAATTTTATAGGAATATCATTATTAAATAATAATAATAATCATAAATATGAACTTATTGTTTAATTTGATTATGAATGTTAATATTAATAAATTTTTATGAATATTTATATGTATATATATAGTTATCTATAAATTTTAATATATTCTTTTATATAGTTTATATCAATTTTAATATATTCTTAATATATAATCATAAATTTGGAATTATAGAGCTAAGTTGTAGGAATTTTGAGTGAATTAAAAATTAATTTAAAATTAGATATTTTCAAAAGAACAGTATTACCAATTAATCATTTTAGGTTTTATTTATCTCATGTATTTAATTCCTGAAAGAAAGATACAAATATCAATATGTTGACTATGATAAATAGAAAATAGCAAATAAATAAATACTAGATGTGACATTACTCTCTATTCACTTCTTAATATATTTATTTATGACAGAATATAAAATTATTTTTATTATGGAACCATCATAAATGTTAAAATATTATTGTATTTTAAGGATATATTTAATCATCTTAGAATACGGAAATAATTGTTATATTCAAGTAGTTATGGTTGGTAATATTATGACATATTTTGATTAATATAAAAACAATAATTAAATGGGATGATATCCAATAAAATATATTTATATAATATCATTAAATATTTATGATTTTGAATAGAAATCTTACTCTAATAATTTATAAATAGAAGAAATTGAAAAGTTTTATGAATAATGAGTGAAATATGAAAATATTTAATAAATTCTAATGTATTTGTTAGTTAAGTTATAATATAATTAAATTATGGGTAACAAAGAACTCAAAGTACTAAATTATAATCCCCAAGATCCCGATTTAATTTAATTTAGACAATTATATATGCGTTATCCAAAGTAAAGTAATGTTAAGAAATCATAACTTGTATAAAATACTCAGGAGCTTCTAGAATATGAAATAGTAATTCATAATGAGGCATTTTCTGAAGTATTTGAGCGTAATCATTACATCAATCTGAAAAAGACTTAGATGAGAGTGGATATAGATTTAACTAGATTTTGCAGTGGTTATAATGGTTAATAGATGAGATTACTTGGTTATAATACTATATTAAATGAAAAGAAATCAGTAGGCAAATTTATGCGTCTAAAAGACTTTGTTGAATTAGTGACAGAGAATTAAAAGATTAGAATATTAGATTTAAGTGATCATTCTTTTTAATTTACTCGTAAACTTAATCCAGAAGATAAATTACAAATAGAATACAGATATATACTTAAACATGAAATACTATAAAATAATGTCAGAATATTATGTTTATAACTTAATCCAGAATGTCCATATAAAATATCAATTACTACACCAGAACTATAATCTGTAATATCACCTACTCATAAATTACAAATAAATAATAATCATATTTAATGTAATTTTTATAAGGGAACAGATTCTTCTTTATTTATATTATTATTTACAATGAAGACAGAATTGGTGTGTACCAAAATATAATTTGGTGCTCCTGGATATTCAATAAATTAAAAATATTGTATGTATTTAAATTTACCATTACCTACTATAATGTATGAAGAAATGATTTATTTTAATTGTGAAGATCCACAAAAAAATTAAGAATAAGAAACTATGGAATCTATGCCATCATATTCAAGTATTACACCAGAATCAATAAATTAACATTATTGGCCTTATTTTTTTAATATAACTCCAATTACTAATTAAAGAAATATTACATTCTTTTTGGATTAAAGTAATTCAATGGAAGGAACTAAAATAATGTTAGCTAAATAAGGATTATAATTATTTATTAGATCTTTACCATCTGAATGTTATTTTAATATTTATAGTTTTGGAAGCAAATGGAGAAAGATCTTTTAAACATATTAAAAAATATGTGAACCTATTTTAAAATAATGTGAAAAAGAAATTAAAATGATGGAAGGTAATATGGGTAGTACATTTTTATTGGGTGCTATGAATGATGCATTATTAAATTCTGTTAAATCATCTGATGCTACATGGTTTATATTAACAGATGGTAGAATAGCAGAAATTGAAGAAATATTTACTTTATTAAAATCAAATCCTCATATTCGTGTATTTTCTTTAGGATTTGGATTAGAATTCGATTAAGAAATTGTTGAATAATTAGCTACTTAAACTAATGGAAGGTATAATATTATTATCTATATATTATAGTTCTATATTCTGTTAAAATATTTAATCATTGAATTCTTAAATGATTTAATTATTATAATTAGCCTTATTACCAAAATTTAAAATGAATGTTAAATTTGATACTCATTTACATATTACTACAATGTATCCTAGTCCAAATAGACCATAAAGAGAATTACTATGTTATTTAGATAATCAATAGTTACAAGATTAATCAGAAATAGAATTAGATATTAATTTCGGAAATGAAAATGAACCTCAAATTACTTAATAATATAGATGTAATCTAAGAGATATTCAAACTAATTATTTATTACATCTCTATGGTTATATCTAAATCTTAGAAAAGATCTTAGATGAAATTTGGTATTCAGATAGTATATCCTCTATTTTATCCAATCAACTTAAAAGTTCATTTGATATTAACAATCCATTATTATTGTTATTTTTTAATCCTCTTAATATTCTTATGATTGATAATTGTGCTGTAATTTGTAACATCAATATAGAAAATTTATAAAAATTGATTAATGAACAAAAGAAATCTAGAGATTATTTGGGTCTATTATTATAATATATAAGTGATTAAACTTATGAATAAGCAATTAAATGTATAAATGCAAATGAAAAAATCTCAGAAGAATCCGTATCCATTGAAATGGGTTCTAGTTATACTTAAGCTAATTAAGATTATTTGATTAAGGTTATTTAAACATAATAAATTGATGGATCATTTATGGATCAATAAGCACTTGCCCTTGTATGTCCAAGTTAATCTATGAATGCTATTTTAGCTAAAATGCCAGAATCTAATTAAAGTTAATCTCTTGTTAATGGGAGATAAACATAATAATTACCTGATTTCATATTAACATAAATATGGGTAACTGCCTTAGTAATTGCATATTTGAAAAAATATTAAAGACAATAAAGAGGTTAATGGATAATAATTTATATCAAAGCTATTAATTTTATTAAATAATATTTAAAGAATTGGTAATCATTATTATACAAAGCCAGAATTGAATTAATAAATGCAGGTCTTAAATGAAGTACAAATATATTTGATAATAAATAAATTCATCATCTTTGCCTATTGAAAACTTAAAATTATGTTATTGTTTATATTAAAAATACCTTAAGATAAATTCTTTTTATCCTCTTACTATTCTATATATAAATTATAAAGAAATCCTTTAAATTAATTTAAATTTTTAAATGATTAAAATTACTTATCCATAGTGGATAAATATCTAAAATTATTGTTTTTTTAACTGCATTGATTTCCTAAACTTAAAAAGATTAATAATTTAATTCCAATTAATCTATTTTATCTAATCTATTAAAATAGAATATTGTTATAAAATTAGTTTAATTAAATTTTAGATTCGAATTATTAACTTACAAATGTAAATTTTGACTTAATTAATAAATTTAATAATAAGAAAGATAAAATTATCAAGTAATCAAATTTATAGATTAAATATTTTATCAGAATATATAAAATAATACATAATATATATATTAATGAATTAGTAATATATTTCAATATTCATTGATATTCGAATTAACCATACATGTTCTTATTAGATTTTGTATATATTTTTAATTTAATTCATATTCTTAATTGTCTTTAAATTGAATTTGATATTCTAAAAGATATGGAATTTAATCTGATTTTAAAGGATATTTAATTTAATCTAAATGTTTGTAAATCATATTTGAATTTTTTCTAGTTGTTGAAAAATTTGATATAAATTTATGAACGCATTAACAAAATAAGAAAATATCTTTGGATATAAGACAACTAGGTTTCTTAAAAATCCCAGCATAATTCTTTGAAATTTTACACTTTAACAGTCTTTCAGTAATTGATTAAGCCGAAGAATATTTGTTTACCTGGAATATATTTGCGATTTATTGTAATGGTTTTATTATTATCCTTAAGAAAATCGAAGATATCAATGTAATTACAATAGCTATGGCAATCAAAAGAGCAGTTCCTTTTATCAATTCATTTTATATTTAAGCTTTCATCTAAATTGAATGATTTGAAATATAATAATCATATGAAAATTTATTTTAATATCTATATATTTATGAGAAATTTACAAAATGATTTATAAATTATATTATTCTAAGGAAGTATGCATCATATAATAACTCTAATTGTCTATTTTATTTTATCTACAAATAAATCCAATATCAAAATGATTACAATTACTCACATTTGTATAGGTTAATGCTTACCAATCCTCTAAATTAAAACCAGTTTTAGTTTCATTATAAAAATAGTCATTACCTAATTCAAATTCAGAATTATTAAATAGATTGCTGACCAATAACATTCCGTTATTTGTAGTTAAAATTAGGTTAGTTTCCATCTACTCATTATTAATAAAATCTTATAGAATTTTCGATTAGATATGAACTCTCAAAGCTCCAATCATAATCTTACTGAGATTGATTAATGGTAAAGCTATAGAGAATCTAATGTCATTAAAAGGGATTGCTAATGTATCATAATTAATTTCATACTTAAATAATGCTCAGTCAATCGAATAGAGTATTATTAAAAATTGCTTCCATTATATGCCTTTTAAGCCTCAATGTACCAAGGCCTGGTTTTAGGTTCATATATAGTGTAGTTTATGAAGTCTAAACAAGGATAATTAAAGAGGTATTATGTTTGAGAATCAAAAAACCCCATAAATTATTAAACACCAAATTAATGTGTAGGTAAGAATGTATTAAATTGAATTAAATGCTAAAGAGTATTTATTAGATCATCTTAGTTTGAATTGATACTTGAGTTATTTAGATTACAATAACAGGCTGTCTGAATCTAGAATAATTGTATAAATTACTTCAATTAATGTCTTATGATAGCAATTTTAATTTATTATCTCTTATGAATTAACTTTAATATTAGTTTAAAGTTGCTAAAAATTATACAACTGATGCAATGATATTAGTGGCTAAGATACTACATAATATAAATGATTATTACATTAGACAAAGAAAGTAACCCAAAATATTTCTAAGCTTTGTTTAATTATAGATGCTTATCTTAAAGAGTTGAGATCAAATATTATTTCAGAAGATTTCTGTAATGTTTAAGATATCTCTTCGGTTATTAAAGTGCATAAGATAATTGTACTAACTAGTACAATAAGCATAGAACAACAAATATAAATATATAAGATTGTTCTTGCTTTTAAATTAGATGTGCATCTTATTATTGAAGATTATAGAATAAGTTACTTTATATTCATATAATCTCTTATCTAATTATTCTTTTTGACTCCTTTATACATAATTTAAATAAATATTTATTGTTGATTGTAATAAATCAAAAATATAATAATAAGAGATAATTTAGAATTTTTAATTGAAAATGCACAAATATTTCAACTGTTCAAGGCGTTAATTTCATTTTCAAGATGAGGATCATAACTAAAATCATCTATTGGTAAACAATTAAGAGGACTGTTTTGAGGTCTATCCTAATTTTTAATTGGACTCAAAGACTCTTCTTATTCTACTTTATTTTTTTAAGCTACAGTCTCAAGAGGAGATTATAATTGACCTTAAGAGAGAGCTTGAAAATCAATATTCTAAAAAAAGTTGTGACGTTTGAGATCATCAAAGGACTTAGCTCCTAATCTTTCTTTAGGATTAAATCTCAAAAGACTAGAAATTAGATTGCGAGCGTTGCTTGAGATTTTAGGAGAATATATGGGTTTGTTTTACATAATGAGCTTTAAAAATAATAGAAATATATATACATTTTGTATGATACAAACATTACGATCTTCACAAGTAAATGGTGCATATCCTGAAAGCATCTCATAAATAAGGATTCCTAATGTCCAAAAATCAACTTCATAAGTATGACCAGATCTAGCAATAATTTCAGGTGCCAAATATTCAGGAGTACCTGCAATCTAAATTTAATATAAATATTTATACTGTATATGAATGTTCATCTTTAATATATGTAGCTAATCCAAAATCGGTTAGTTTTATATGTCCAGTTTCTGTAAGTAATATATTTTCTGGTTTTAAATCTCTATATATAATTTTTAGTTATGTATGTAAATATTCTAATGCTAAGATTATTTCAGCAACAAGAAATTTCACTACTTTTTCTTATAATGCACCATTCTTTTTTAAAACTCTATGTAAATCACCTCCTGATACATAACTATTTTTATTATTAAATTTAATTTACTCCATTACAAAATAACATCTTGAGGATGTTTAAAAGGCATATCTTAATTTAACAATAAATGGACATTCACTACTTTTCAATACAAATCTTTCTAAAAAATTAACTGTTTCTAAATTATGATCTGATAAAGTTTATTTTTTTAATTCCTTCATAGCATATATTTATCCATTATCCTTTTTCATTATCTTATAAACTGAACCAAATGCTCCCTATATTTATTAATAATTTAAACTTTTCCAATTAATCCTAAATTTAGAAAATCATCTCGATTTACTTTCCTCCTTTTAGGTGAGGCACTTTAAATAGTAGGAGATTCATCAAACACAGGACCTACTTCAAATTTATCTAATGAGCTTATCCTAGTTGGTGAACTACCTGCCTCACACATATTCCCCATGATTTTATATTAATTATAATTTTGCCGTATTTTATAATAAAAACAAGTATATAAATAATTTAATAATATATCATTATTCATTAGATAATAATTTGTAGCTTTGATTCAAATGATGTAATTTATTTATTAATGAATCAATTTTTTAATTATTTTCTTTCATTTTCTATGATGATAATTTACTCTCCTATTTTTTTACATTAGTAAAACTAGTTCTATTTAAATCTCTTTAGATTAATCCACTTTATTCATTAGTTTGATTACGATATTATTACATGATATCTTTCATTTATTTAATTTAACTATCCTCTTATTCACTTAAATTACTAAAATCCATTTCTTTAGTTTATGTATGATTAGTCTTTGGTTAAAAGGAGGACTCAAAAGATCTAAAACTTTTATCTCCAATTTATTATTCAACAAAACTATTATATAATGTCACTTCTCCTAATTCTTTAACTTTTTCTGAAAACTCTTTCAATTACTATTTTACTTATTTGCTATCTTGTAAATTCCATTTATCATCTAAACAAACTATTAATTTATTCAATAATAATAATTAATTATTCATTTGATCATACATTTTTTTAAGTTCTTTACTATTCATTTATATAGATCCACTTAAATTACTTTTACTTGATTTCTTAGAATTAAAACAAGATGTTTTCTCTAATTTATGAAAAATATCTTGCATAACTTCTCTATCATTATTAGTTAATTTATCATCTTCAACTTTCATTACAGCTTTAGAAGTAGTCTTAAATAATCTTTATTATTCTAATATAATAAAAAACTGTATACAATTATTAAGATTGCTTATTATTTAATTTACATTATGATCTCCTCGAAAGCTAACATTATTACTTTAAGTTTATATCACATATGTTTAAGTTTACTAAGGTTGATTGTTAATAAAATATTATGGTTATTATACTAAATTGCTTACTGGTACTGAGAAACTTTAATTACTTAAATATTAATTAGTTTATTATCTTATTGGAGGACAAGAAACTGCTTATTAAGTTTGTATTCTATGTTATTATGATTAATGTTTAAATTAGTTAGTATTAAACTCATCAAATTTATTAGGAGATCTTGATACTCTAAATTAATGAGTTTTATAGGAATAATATTATGACTCAGATTTATATTGTTATGTAGAATTGTCATCAAATATTGGTTTCTTACATATTGGTGCTGAGTAATCTTTAATTTCATTTTAAAAGTAATACCTCTTTGTTTTTTTAATGGATTTATTTATTCTAATCTATTCTTTATTCCATTAGATTCACAACATCCCATATTCGTTAATTTAATAATAAAACAGAATTATTAATCAATTTTAAGTAATTTTATATGATGATATTAAATGACTTAGTTTATATAATATTAAGTTTGTTCAGATTACAGTTTATTTAAGTTGATAGAAATATTCAACAGAATAATATGATTAATAATTTATTAAGTTTAAAAAATAATAATTTTAAAATCTCTTAGACATGTAATAAAACATAAATGGATCAAATATAAAGAGTTAAATGAGAGTATCTTCTATGTCAGAAAAAGAAGAAGCATAAGAAACTTTGGAAAGTATTCAACTAAATTATAATATTAGTTATATAGGAAATGTCATAAATTTTGAATTGTGGATTAGATAGATAATAATTAGCAATTCTAATTAGTATGATAGATAATGGTGTAAATCCAGAAGCTTTGTCCTTGGTTGTAAATGAGATGAAAACTGAGTTGAACACATACAAAAAAATTCATAAATAATGATTTTATATTCACTTTTTAACAAAACTAAATATAGTTGATTAAGTTTATTTAAGTGCTTTTTCTATAGATTTTATTGATTATTTTTTTTAAGTAGATTGATCTTATGTAGGTTTGCTTTTTATCTAAAATAATAATAATAATAAATATATACTTAACTTAAGCATTATGTATTAGTAATTTTGGATTTAATTTAAAAGGGATTGAAGAATTCAGATGAACTTTCATTAGAATCTATTTCTAAATCATCATTTTTCTAAGTAATTTAAACTTACTTTTATTTTGTTTTAAAGAGTTCTTCATTCTCATCTTCTCCTTATACTATTTCTAATTCATCTACATTTTATTAATTATTCTTTTCTTATTAATCAAAAATCTCTTCACATAACTAAAATATATTCAAATCTTCTTTTTAAATCTAAGTACGTTTTGGTGCCAAAAATTATTATTCTCTTATAACATTTGCAGGTTTTTCAACAAATTCTGGTAAATTATCAATATCTGCAGTTTATAAAAATTATTAAACCCTTTGTTTAGCTTCAATATCTACAATTTATTGCTTTGAATTTTCTAATCTCCTTTCAATTCTTTTAAATAATTAATTAAAATCTATTTTCATTCTTTCTCTAAAAATCAAAGTCTTGATATCTAAATCACCATTACAAAATTGAACTTACAAATTTTCTTAGATTTTTTCACCCACTAATTATTCAATCTAATTAAGAGGTAAGAATTGATCTTATTCAAGTTTTGAGATAAAATCTTCATATTTCTCTTAATTTAATTATATCCATTATTTCTTAATTGTACAATATACTGTTTAAAATTAAAAGATCAATCTAGTTGCTTTAATTATTTTTTCATATTCCTCAGGAATCTTACCAATAAACTATTTAACCTTTTTCAATTTACTAATTGCATTACTAATATCATCATATTTAGACATAAAATCAATAGCTTTTCTTATACCCATACCTCTAATAGATGGAACATAATCACATCCACTCATAATACAAACATCTATCAATTATTCATTCTTAAAAGCTAGAAATTATCGTATATCATCGCTTTTAATATGTGCTCTATTTTATCTTGATTCTCTCAACTTTTTTAACTCCAATTCAAAACAGGCTCCATTACTTTACAATTTAAAAACAATCAAAGGACATTAATAACATATTAAATCACTCTGAAATATATAATTAATTATTACATCTTCAGTTATTGCAAAATCACACTATCCACTTAAACACATATGGGCAATCTAAGAATCAGCCTCATATGGTGCTATAATGTATTATACTTCTAATTCTTTCAATACATCAAATGTAGTGTACATCATTTATTTTCTTATTTTTAAACATCTTTAAAAGTATTTTTTAGCCTCTTCTGAATTTCCACTTTCTTATAATTCTTTTGCTTTTAATAAATTTTGCTGTTTTATTTATTTTCTCATTTATTCAGTCTTCTCTTTAGCTCTTAAATTCCGACCATCAAATACTAATATTGGAGTTATTTCATATTCTCTTAACATAACTAACTAATTATTAGAACAATTCTAATTACCATTTTTTAAACATAATAAAGATAATCATTTGTTTTGATATCTTGATTTAATTCATGAGCACAAGAATAACACCCTCGATAAAGCCAAGACATGGCATCAATTGCTGCAGTTTTACCACGATAATAAGTGATACATCTTTCAACCAAAGCTGGTTTGAGAAAATTGAGCAAATTATCTATTCCCATTTAAATTTAATATAAAATTTATTATCCCGCCTTTTTTTTCTATAAATATATTAATCATTATTGGATGTAATTAAATATCTTATACAACATCAAAATATCTAAAAATATTTTACAATTACAGTATTAAATGAATATAATTTAATTACTATTACACATAAATATGATAATAAACAGAATTAATCAATCTTACTGAAATTAAGTTAATTTTTTATAAAAATAGCTACTTGTATAATTAGATATTATTATGTCTAAATATTATCGAATAGTCAAACTGACATTTCTGTAATAGTTACAGAAAAAATATCAATTTTAAGCATAGAAATAAATTATCTTATTTTTCATATGAATTAGAAAATAAAGATAAGAAATTTTTAATAGAAATCTCTTGTTAGAATATTACTTAATATATACTAATGATGAGTTTATTATTAAAAATAAAAAATCAATATAAAACTATATTATTAATTGAGTATTAAATAGATCATTTTTTAAAATTAAAAAAGTCTAAAGGCAATCCAGCTTTTGCAGTTTTAGGGATTGATGTTTATTTTGTTCTTTTTTCTGATAATTTAATTTTAAGTTCTCTTGTTGATAGCATGAGTAAATCAAGTATTTTATCTGGAACTTCAGTTTTAAGTTTAGAATTGATATTTTATTTTTCATTTCTAAAATCTAATTTGAGATTAGTGGTTTCATCTGTTTATTTATTTAATGGATAAATTTGTTTGCAAATAGATTTAATCTATTCCTTAGATTGTATTTATTTGGATGTCAGTATAGGAGTTCTATAACAAATGATTCGTTCACTACAAATTTATATGTCAGGTTCAGTTTTGATAACAGTTTTATCTTTATTAAAGCTTTGGTAGTCAGTAATTTATTATTATTTAGGAGATTGATAGGAATTAGAATTTAATTATTATTTAACTAAATAACCATTGATAATTTTAGATTGTTTGGGTAGTTATTTAATAGCTTAATTGATTGATTATTAGATTGTTTCAACATCTTAGGATTTTTATCTTCGAGAAGAGTGTAATTTAGTTGAAGTAATGTTTTTTTAACTTTTGAATTTATGTTAGTTAATATGGGAATCTTTATTATTGTGTAAGGATTGATTTACATGTTTTTTGGATTTAAGTAATTTTAATCTGATGATATTATAAATTTATACTAATCAGCAATATTGTCAGGATTTCTGTTTAGACATGCTTACTATGGAATGTGGTAACTAATTTGGTGGGAAGGTACATAATATGCATGATTCATGATGTTAGAAAATATTAAAAAAATTAATCAATGTAAAATTGAATTAGGTAAAAGAGCATTAAAAAAATCTGTTGGGAATTTAGTTCTGCCACCTTTAGGGATTAATAATTTATTTGATTGTCTAGTATTTATTTTAGAGTTGCCAACTTTATTTAATTCTGCAAATTTCCTTTTTAAATCTTATGTTGAAAGACATAACAAGTCTA